GTTCAGCCAGAAGCAAATTATCTTTTGGCTTTGTAATTTCTATTTCTGAAAGGTCACTTTTAACTTCTTCTAAATAGCTTTCAAGGGCTACTGATTTTTGTATTGGTGGTATCCGTGTAGATTTGACGTGCCAGGGATGGGTTTTTTTGTCCTCCCCTCAGAATATGTGAATCAGACGCATTCTCCTTGCGAACTGATCAAAGTCACACAATAGTTGTTGTCTGATTTGTTTTTGTTTTGTAGCGGGTGTTGGAATGAGTTTAAGCCCTTTTGCCAGTAAATTAATCTGGTTGTTTGTAAGTTCTTTATTTGAGAGGTTTTTTATGTGCATTCTGTTCGCCTCTAGTTTGATAGTTGAACGTGTTTGGCAAGACTGCGGTTTTGATCCTAATCTTGTGGATCTCGTCAGTTGCCGATCCACTGAATAGACTGTTACACCCGTATGCAATACAGTGTCTAATCATGACGAGAACACGCTGTATTCTTAAGAAAAGGAATAAAAATGCCTCCAAACATAGCCGTTTGCTTCAATTCTACTTGAAACTTTTACCTGTGTGACCCGATAGCCTCGTTTCAAAACTTCAAAGTCCGCTGAGCTCTCATACAATGGGCATAAATGTGATAAGGGCTATTATTTCACAGTTTTGATGAGGTCATTCACAACTATGAATGAAATAAACAAAAGAAGTTTTCAGTTTCACCACTAAAAAAAAATGGGTGTCACCATTATCCTCTTGAAAACGTGTCGATGCTTTAATTTGGTAATTGGTTAATTTCTTTTTGACATTTTTCAGAGCTGATCTTTATCAGTAAGCCAAACTATAAGTCTGCAGCACACTAAAATGAGGCCAAGTGCAAGCGTTTGAATAACTGAAATATATCACACCACAAAAAGAAAACAAAAGTGCTGCCAAAGAACAAAGTTTACTGAAAAAGCTGTGAAATTCCAGCACACCCAATCAAATGCATTTTGTACTTTTGGTCCTATTCCCCCCTCATCTATCACGCACATCATTTTGCCATCTCCACCTGCAAATAGCAAAAGCTAGATGAGGCGGGCAGAGAGTCTACAGTGTAAAGCAAGATGGCGGACAAACGGATCGATTCAAGGAAATGCAAGCGTTTCAACACCTTTTGGTTGCATTGCAAATCCTTTGACACCAAAGCTTGTGTTTTCTTGTGAGGAATGCTTTAATCGAAGCTCCAAGCTGTAATAATTTCAGACCAACCCCTCCATTAACTCCACGGTGTTTTGAAGATCATATCGAAGGTTCAAATGGATCGCTGGTTTCGAATTCTTCAACAGCTGAAAATGGATGATCAGAATTCACACTGCAGGACACAGTTTATGATTCAGGCTCACTTGTGGATACCCTTGAAGTACAAAATTATGAAGAACTTCCTTCACACGTTTATGAAAACGTAGAAGAACCGAACAGTAATGAAATAATTCCAGATTTAAGTTCAGTTGACAATAATGGCACAGCTGATGCAAGTAAGCTTAACACTTTTGAAGAAAACAACGACCCTCTTGTTTATTAATAGGTTGAGCTGTTTTCATGTTAGATTTGCAAAGCAAGTAAATTGATGTACAAATAGAAAATTGATTGTGTGAATTTTTTTCTGGACCCTACATTTGTAATCAGTATTTGTTCTTCTTGAAGGACACAGGTTAAATACCACAATAAAGAGGATTTTTAAAGTGCTACTGAAACGTAATTTTCATATCCGAGATTTTTTGCAATATAATAGAGTTTGAACGTTATTTGCAAACGCTGTGTACTTTTTTTGGGCCAACGCATAGCGGAAAGTACATTTTTAACCATTCGAAGTTGACCGGCTGAGATCAAAATTGGCGGCCATCTTGGCGCGGCCAAAACAGCCCTGTGACGTCACTGGTTGTGTACTTCTGTGAAAGAAGGGTAAAAGCATGGAGTGTGGCTTGC